AGTTAGTGTGAGCTAGCTCACAGTTTATTAGCCTCCAGCTCAGACATTTTTGCCTTAGCTCAGGAAGGACGGCTCCAGAGAAAACTAATTTATGCCGTAGCCAAATCGCTCGCTCACAACTTGAATGCCAGGAGCTCACAAAGTAGAATTTTTGCTCACAAGGCTCCACAGCTTAGAGGGAGCATTGCCTGGCACCCCTTCCTAATTCTTGCTTCCCTCTCCAGAGTGCGGCGGGAAGAACTTCCATTTCGTGCACGCCTCGGCCGACGTGCCCAGCGTGGTGAGCGGGACGCTGCGCTCCGCCTTCGAGTACAGCGGCCAGAAGTGCTCGGCCTGCTCCCGCCTTTACGCCCCCGACTCTCTGTGGCCCCGCATCAAAGGCCTGCTCCTGGAGGAACACCAGAAGATCAAAGTGGGAGACGTGAGCGTTCCGCCCGCCCGCTGAAGGGCTTTGCTGCTCCACGGGTGGCTGATGGGATTAGGGGCTGCGCGGGCTGGCTGCTAATACCTATTGAAGGAGCGGCTTTATCCACTGGTTCTCCCTCCCCTCGGTTGCGGGGCGCCCCCCTCCCGCGGCCCCCGGTACTCTGCCTTGTCCTTTCGGTGGGTGTGATTAGAAATTAACTTGTAGTAGTTCGTGCCGAAGGGATGATTACAGTCACGGGCTAATTGAAAAAGGGTGCCGTGCCCCCCCCCCCCTGCCCACCCCGAATAGGAGACTGCATCCCCCCCGACTCTCCAGGGTCTGAAGGAAGGAGCGCTCTCTTTCCGCAGCCTGGGGTGGTTCGAGGTGTCCGAGATGCGACCCCTCCCCGCAAGGCCGTCTTCCTCCCTTGGGGCCCTCTGGCTCGGTCTTAGGGTTGCCAACCTCCAGGTAGCCCCTGGAGATCTCCCGCTACTGCAGTTAACCTCCAGATGACAGAGATCAGTTCCCCTGGAGAAAATGTCGGCTTTGGTGGGTGGACTCTGTGGCATTATATCCTGCTGAGGGTCCTCCCCTCCCCTCCCCAAACCCCACCCTCCCCGGGCTCCGCGCCCCAAATCTCCAGGCATTTCCCAACTCAGAGCTGCAACCCTACTCAGTCTGGTCTCCTCTGACCCGGCACCCAGAGAAGGTCCCTTCCCAGCACTGGCTTCCAGAGGAGGATTTCTAGAGGGAGAGACCGCCCGAGATCGATCCCTGTGCCGTGGCCCCTCTCAGTAAAGCCACCTTAATCTGAGGCTGGTGGGTTGTTCACAGTTAGGTGGTACATTTATATGTCGCTTTTCTGCCCGGGCAGCCAAGGCGGTTTACCATTTCAAATGACTGCCGACAATATGGGACCCAAAATGAAACGGGGCAGAGAGAGGAAAGGAAGCGGGTTCCCGTATCAACTCATAGATAATGTAGGAAACCATTCTGGGTTGACCAGGTGGGACCGCCCCTGCCGGAGCCAGTTCTGGGAAGGGACGAGCCCCGTGTTTCAGACAGGTCTCATCGTCTCTCTGCCCATCCTAGCTCAGTGTGGTCTCCTCTTAGTGCATCTTAATTTTGTACTATATACAATGACAATAAAGTATATACTACTATTACTATTACTCTGACTGGCCCTGCTGGTGGACCTCCTGGTGGCCCCTGGTATTTCTGGCCACTGTGACACAGAGCATTGGACTGGATGGGCCACTGGCCTGATCCAACATGGCTTCTCTTAGGTTCTCCAAAGTCATGCCTTGCCGAATTTTTGTGAGTTTTCGTCGTGTGAGCGAACATTTTTGCCTGCTTGCTGATCGTTTGGGGGGGGGGGCTTACACTGCGGGATAGTTTGACCTCTGCCATGTTTTTTGAGCGTCAGGTAGCAACTGTGATGGTTCCCCCACAGTATTTTCACAACAGTCCTGTGAGGTGGGTGCGAATTTGCAGCCCAGTGGGGATTTGAATTCAGGCCTCCTCCGTTCCTGTCTGCGACTCAGTGCCTTGCTATACCACCCTGATGAGACCGAATAATCAGTATCAGGACTGATTGGTGGGCATTTGGGGGGGAGGCAGGCAATGCTGTGCTGTTCACCGTTTCTCTCCTTCCATTTTCTCTCTAGCCAGTGGAAGATTTTCAGACGTTTTTTTCTGCTGTGATCGACCAGAAGGTATGGGCCACTGAGGGTCTGTCTGTCTGTCCAGGGGAGCGTGCCCCTCCGCCTCTTCTTTAGCCCGGGCCCTGTGATCGCCTGCCCTCTCCTCTCCTTCCCGATTCTGTCCCGTGGTCCGTATCCCAGCTTTTTCTCCGGCTTCTCTCTCCCGCCGCCTGCTATCTCCACCTCTCAGGAGCTGAGCTCCGTTACTTCCCTTTTGCCGAGAGAAGCCCTGCTGAGATTACGGCTGAGCCGGCAAATGCTTTCTTTAAAAACGTATTTTCACAGCTTAAGAGCCGGCATCTGTCAATAACGATAACCTCGCTGCTGCCACCACCCCCGCCTTCCGCCACTCTTTCTCCCGCCGTCTCCACGCTTTCCTCCCCGGCCCTGGGAACCCTTTGAAGTCTTCCGCTTCTCCTGTTGAATGGAGCTGATCTCCTGTCACACCCTTCGGGTTTGGGGGCCCGGCGCGGGCCTGCCGGGGAGCACGTTGCGTCTCCCAGCATCCTCTTGGCATCCAAGATGGCCGCCGGCCCATCACCTGCCCTCTTCGTGATCTCTTTGTGCTTTCTAGCCTCTGTTTTGTCGGCCAGGTTGGCTCTGTCTTGGGGGTGGTGGGAAATGGCGCCAAGTTGCAGCCAACTTAATGGCGACCCTGTAGGGTTTTCAAGGCAAGGGGTGTCCAGAGGTGGTTTGCCCTGGCCTGCCTCTGTGTCGCAGCCTTAGAATTCCTTGTTGGTCTCCCATCCAAATACAAACCGGGGCCGGCCTTGCTTAGCTTCTGAGATCTGACAAGACAAGTTCTGGGACTTTTCAGTTTAGAAAAGAGACGACTAAGGGTGGACATGGTAGAGGCTTATAAAATGATGCATGGGGTGGAGAGAGTTGACCAAAGAGAACTTTTTCTCCCTCTCCCAAAAGACTAGAGTTTGAGAGCGTCCAGTGAAGCTGACGGGCAGTAGGTTCAGGACAAACAGAAGGAAATACCTCTTTACACAGAGAGTGATTAAAATGTGGCATTCGCTACCAGAGGATGTACTGATGCTGATTAGATGCTGATTAGATTTTTAATTGTAAGACAAAGTCAGGTCAGGGCAACTTTGTCTTACAATTAAAAATCTAATCAGCATTGTTCTTGGTTAAAACCAGTTGCTGAGGTGCAGAATTCAGGTTCAGTGTTTTCTCATCAGTGAGAGGACTTCATCAGGTACTGCAGCTTATGCTGGTGTTTGGCAGAAGAAAGCAAAGCCAGGCCCTTCGGTCACTAGAGATAGGGTGGGGAAAGCACCCCCCCCCCGCTGTTGGCCCTCCAGCCAAGTTGGACTCTTGGGGGCCTTTGCCCCTTGAAAAGGGCTTTCCTCTTGGGAAGGAACCACAATAAGAATAAGAAATTGGGCAGCATGTTCCCATCCATCTGGAGAGGTCCAGGAGCTGTGTTTTTGGGGAGTTTTGTGCTACCCACCAACATGCCAATCTCAAGCTGGGTTTTGATGCTTGCAAACTGAGACGGGTAGCGGGACTTTTTTGTGGTGGCCCCTCCACCGTGGAATTTCTCCCATTGGAAGACTGCCTGACTGGCTTGGCTTGCTCAGTCGTTCATTTTCAGCATTTTTTTAAACCTTTCACCAATTTTCTGATGGCTTTTCTTCATCACTAGGACTTTAAGTCTGTCGGGGTTTTCCCTTTAAGGAAGCCAGGGCAGCGTACCTTAATTTATTTACATAGGATATTTCTGTGCCGCCTCTTCAGAGTCCTGCTGGAGGCGGCTACAGTTAAAACAGCATAACAGTCCCAGAAGAGGCCGTTGGACCTAAGCAGCGTAAAGATCTATCTGTAAAACTGAAACAGGCCGCTTACAAAGGTAGTAAGATAAAACCCCGGATCAGAAGCTGAGGTAAAGAGGTTGTGTTTTGGTCTGCCGCCTAACAGAAAGAAAAGGAGGTGCCAGGGAATCAAGGGGGAGGCATTTCAGGTGCCACCGTAGAAAATGCCTGGTTCCTCTCCCCCATTTTATACTCATAAGAACCCTGTGAGGTAGGCATAGCTAAGCGTGAGGGACTGGTCTGGGGCGTGGAGTGGGAGAGATTAGAACCTGGGCCTCTATGGGGAGCCGGGGACGGCCCAGGCCACTGCTCACAGCTTCTCTTTCCTTTGCTCCCCCCAGTCTTTTGGGCGCATCCAGAGGTGGATCAAACACGCCGAGATGTCGTCCAGCCTCAACATCCTTGCCGGGGGGAAATGCGACGACACAGTTGGCTATTTTATCCAGCCCTGCATAATCGAAACCCGGGACCCGAAAGATCCCATCATGCAGGAGGTGAGCCTTGAAGCAGCCGTCAGCCGCTGTTATTGCGCAGGGGCCCCCCCCCCCAAATACACACACACTGCAGCACGGGGAGGGGGGGACTCTGGGTGTGATGTAGGAATTCAGGCAGCCCTCAACGCTGTTCTCCTCGCAAGACAGACTTCCTGACCCTTCTCGGTTTCTCCCTTCGGCATGCAGGAAATCTTCGGCCCCGTCCTGACGGTCTACGTGTACCCGGAGAAGCAATACCAAGATGTCCTCCGGCTAATAGACAGCACTTCACCATATGGCCTCACGGGGGCAGTCTTTGCCCAAGATAAGTAAGGAGCCCTCCCCCCCCATCCCCTCCCTGCCTGGTCTCATCCCCACCGCTGGAGACGGATCAGGTGTCCAAGGGGACAGACTGCAGCCAGGGCTCTGCGAGTTCTGCAAGTCTTGTAAGACAGAGCTATTCCACTGGGCTTTTGGGTGACGTGGTGGACATCAAATATCATTTGGCCCCTCCTGTTACCATCCCTGTTACCATTATCCATTAAAATGTTTTCAGTTCTTGAGAACTCCGAACAACAGCCCTGCCTTGGTTTAGAGCAGTGATGGGCGAACCTTTTAGAGGCCGAGTGCCCAAACTGCGACACAAAACCCACTTATTTATCGCAAAGTGCCAACGCGGCAATTTAACCTGAATACTGAGGTTTTACTTTAGAAAAAAACAACTCATACATTAACTTAAGATGATCCAAACTAAGCAAGGAAAGCAATCCCAAATGTTTTCATTTACTTAACATTATTTGGCAGAGAATTCGACACTTTAATGATGGTCTGGGCCTGGCTGGGGCGATGGCACGCGTGCCCACAGAGAGGGCTCTGAGTGCCACCTCTGGCACCCGTGCCATAGGTTCACCACCACTGGTTTAGAGTATCTTCCATCTGGAATCCCTACCGGGATTTAGCCCTCTCCACTTTTTAACTGAATAATAACTCGGACATCATGGAAATAGTTTGAAGTCGTTTGAATGCCATCGTTATCGTTTCAGAGTCTGATTTTATTGTTCCATAACCAGTGTCGGAACCTGCCCGGAGCCTGTTTGCAGGAAGGGCAGGATAGAAATTGAGAACTGAATTGAGTTAGAGGCGTTTGTTTGCAAAGAGCTGGATTTGGGGCACGCGCGTCACAGGGAAAGTTCCTTCGGGGCTTCTTAGGATTTGGGCCCCGGAGCACCAAGACCGGCCTCTCTTCTTCTCTCCCCCCTTTTCCAAAAGACAGTCACGTTATGACTTAACTTTGAGATTCAAACCACCAGCAGATGGACCCAGAGCAGGACTGGGCCATCTTCAGTCTGGCAAAGGCCACTTGGGGGTTTTCACTAGAATCGCCGTAGCCCAGTGAGAGTGCCTAGGAGGGAGGAGTCAGGCGCAAGGCACCGGGGACCACTTTTAAGGGATCCGGAACCAATGCTCCCTCTAAGCTGTGGAGTCTTGTGAGCAAAAGTTCTACATTTTGAACTACTGGCAATTAAGTTGTGAGCGAGCAATTTGGCTGCTGCACCAGTTAGTTGGCTCTGGAGCCCTCCTTCCTGAGCAGAGACAAAAATGTGTGTGCCGGAGGCTAAAACACTGTGAGCTAGCTCACACTCACTCAGCTTAGAGGAAACACTGTCCGGAACCTCAGGTGTGCCCTGCTGGACTCCACGGAGGCTTCCCTTGCCTGGAATTAAGACGGTCCGATGAGCCCTGTGGGATCAGGCCAGGGGTCTGTTTCCCAAGTACCCCACAGGCAGCCCACACGCAGGGCCAAAGAGGCCAAAAACTCCCTCTGTAGATGAACTGGTACTCAGAGAGATACACGCCTTCTGAACATGGAGGCTCCAGTCTAACCATCGCAGCTCACATCTGTGGAATAGACTTGTCCTTTGTGAATTCTTCTCAGTCCCGTTTTAAAGCTCTGCCAGCCATTTCAACATCCAGGGGCAGCAAGTGCCATACGTTAACCGTGTGCTGTGTGAAGAAGCACTTCCTGTCCTCCGTCCTGAATTTGTTTGGCGTTTACTTTATATTGATCTTTTTTCTACAAAGTAACAAGCTTGGAATAGAAAATCTGCGGTGTAAAGCATTACAAAGAAAGTGAAAACCCCAGCAGCCAGAATACGCAGTGTGGTGTAGTGGTTAGTGTGACAGACAAGGACTAGGAAGTCCCGGGTTCAGATCCTTCCCCCCCCATGACGATCACTGGAGGACCTTGACACACTCAGCTTAATCAACCTCACAGGGGTGTTGAGAGGGTAAAACGGAAAAGGGTATCCATCCCTGAGCTCTGGGGGGGGGGGGAGATAAAAATGCAAGCTAGATAGATTGATAAATACTGCTGAGGTGCCCTTTTCCTCTCTCTCTCACACTCTCAGAGCAGTCGTCGCTGAAGCAAGGCAACTCCTCCGCAACGCAGCCGGCAATTTCTACATCAACGACAAGTCGACCGGCTCGGTTGTAGCCCAGCAGCCCTTCGGGGGCTCTCGTGCCTCAGGTACCATCGGCCGAAATGGGGTGGCATTTTGTGTGGGAGGGGAAGTCAGAGTTTTCTCTCTCCCTGCAAAGGTCAGGGGCTCACGTGCACGTGGGTGCGGGGGGGTGGGGGGCGGGGGTCAAGCAGTGGCCTGCTTGGTGGACTTCCTGGACGTGTCTAGCTGGCTGCTTTTAAAAAACAAGAAGCTGGCCTAGATGGACCCTTTGGGCCAGATCCAGCGAGGCAATGGAGCCCTCCTGTTCCGAGGCAGTGTACCTTGGAGTACCAGATGCTGGGAGCCATTTATTTATTTAATTTATACCCCGCCCGCCCTGCCGAAGCAGGCTCAGAGTGGCTTACATAAAAATTTGTTAAACAGATAAAAACAAGCAAGTCAAAATATAAATATAAGCTTAAACTACGACATAGCGTGCTCTTGTATGGCGGTGGCGAGACGTCGGTAGCACCAGTGTAATAGGAGTAGTCAGCAACTGGTTTTGGGGGCTGATATCTCAGTTTAAACTGAACTAGACTAAACAAAAGCCCTACTTCGTTAGACACTGCAGTTTCTCCTCCGACCTTTTTTGCATTGGGAAGAGTGTTCCCTCTAAGCTGAATTAGTGTGCGCTAGCTCACAGTATTTTAGCCTCCGGCTCACAGATTTTTGCCTTAGCTCAGGAAGGAGGGCTCCAGAGCAAACTAATTTATGCAGCAGCCAAATCGCTCACTCACACCTTTAATGCCAGTAGCTCACAGAAGTAGAATTTTCGCTCACAGCTTAGAGGGAACATTGGTTGGAACTTCGCTGAGTAGACACCCCGCCCCAAAAAAACACAGCACAACAAACACAGCCCACCACTTGGAAAGGCAGCCGGGCCTGCCACAGGTAGGCCAAATTGACTGACAAGGCCGAGCCGTGGTGTTCCCTCTAAGCTGAGGTAGCATGTGCTAGCTCGCAGTCTTTTTGCCTCCGGCTCACTCATTTTTGTCTTAGCTCAGGGAGGAGGGTTCCAGAGCAAACTTAATTTATGCAGCAGCCAAATCACTCACTCACAGCTTTAATGCCAGGAGCTCACAAAGTAGAATTTTTGCTCGCAAGACTTCACAGCTTAGAGGGAGCATTGTGCTTTCGTACTGCTTTCTCCAGAGCCACGAGGTCTAGCAGCCTTCTTGGCTTTCTGTAAAAGGAAGTTGGTGCTTTCAGCACACGTTACCTACGCATTTCTCCCTTTTGCAAACAGGAACCAACGACAAGCCTGGGAGCCCTCACTATCTCTTGCGCTGGACGTCTCCCCTGGCTATCAAGGAGACCCACGTGCCCTTGGGGGACTGGAAGTACCCATACATGCAGTGAAGCCCCCTCCCAGTGCCTTTCTGGCGGACGCCACCGTTGCATTACCAGTGCAATTGCTGACCTGTTACAGGCTTCATCGTAGCTGATTTTTCGAAGATGCACACTAGGAAGTAGGAGCTGCATTTGTTCCCCCACCCCCCACCCACTTAGGAGACCCAGTTCCCGTCTGGGGAGTCTTTTCAACGAATGGTGACTAAACTGGTTTCTACCAAGGACTACCCCAGAGGTTTCCACCGCCTCCATTGTGACTGAGGAAGCTCGGGTGGGTTTCTGAATCAAGCCAAGCAAAGCACTACAGTGAGGTGGGTCTGAATTCCGAAATGCCTGGCCCCTCTTCTGTCTGTCCTAAATTGTGCCCCTAAATCGTGCCCCCACTTTGGGGAATAGAGCGTCATTTGGTTTGCCTGCTCACCACAAGCCAGAGCGGGGCCCCCGCAAACGTCAGAAGTGCCCAGAAGAGCTGCCAAGAGCCGGAAAGGATTTTAATAGAATCAGGTCAACCCTTAGAAGCGGCCGAGAAGGACCAAGTTGAAGCCCTGTGGAATTCTGGGTAGGATTGTCTCCAAAATATGACTCGTGCCCTATTGGTCAGTGTAGGGTCCAAGCATAACATCTCCTTCCTCAAACAGGAAAAGGGTAGATGTTGTAGGCACAGCTGGAGGGCGTTTTGATGAGTGAGGTGGTCCAGGGATTTCATTGGCCTGTGTTTGGGCTCCAGCACTTACAAACTGGTAAAAGAATGCACTGAACACTGAATAGCAGCTTGAATGGCTGCTGCCCCCTCCTCGAGTGAGGATGCTTAGATGTACGTTGCGTAAACCACAACCTGTTTAAAAGGCAGTGGTGAAATCAATTGTGTGCCCTCTGCATGTGTGTGTTTGTGTGTGTGTGTGTGTTCCTAAACTCCTAGTCCTGTTTGAGGTCATGGAGATGAAGTCGGAGCCACCAAATCTGCAGATTCCACTGAGGGGTCTTGGCTCGAAGGCAGAGGTCATCTTCTTCTTCTTTTTCTTTTTTTTTTTGCATTCTAAAGCCGGGAGCTTTCCTGTTGTGGGAATGCTCAGATGTGCGTTACCATCCAGACAGTGCCTTTCGTTCACGCGGCAGTTCTCTTGCTTTCCCGACAGCCGGGTTTGTACCGGTGAGGGCAGGTACTCCTTTGCATATTAAGCGACACACCCCTAATGTAGCCAATCCTCCAAGAGCTTACAGTAGCTCCTGTAAGAAGAGCTCTGTAAGCTCTTGGAGGATTGGCTACATTAGGGGGTGTGACCTAATATGCAAAGGAGTTCCTGCTACAGAAAGAGCCCTGCGCCCGGTCCAAAAGCGCAGGAAGCCGGAACGTCCGTCCGAGAAGAATGATCTTGCAGACCTTTTATTGCACAGACTGGGCCAGTTGCCATCTCTGCAAAGTGCCCTTTTATGTTAATGGTCAGTCTTATCAGGCTGAAGGTTTCAACACTGGATTCACTGCATCGGAGGGGGGGCACCCCACACCTTTGCCAGTGAGGTCCCTTTGATCAGCCAGCTCCCAGGCTGGGATTTGTTACACAAATGGAAAACTGGGTCTCTTTAGTCCTTTTGCATAGCAGGTCAAGGAGCGGCCGGTGTTTCTACCAGCTCCCTCCCTGAGAGAATGTCAATTATGGATGGCTGGGTGGATGCAGAAGGCAACTGTTTGCAATGGGCTGTTTGTGCTCCTTGGTGATTACTGCTAATAAAGGATTTTAAAAATAACGCTCAGAACGGCTGCGGTGTGGGGACTTTTCCTTATTTCGAGCTGTTGCTGTGATCTGTGAGTCCCCCTGCCCCTCCCTTGCGCCGAAGGGCTCTTGCAGGTCCCTGAAAGTGGGTGCGAGAGACCAGGTGTCTCACCGGCTTATTTCCAAATTACCCCTTCCACGGTGAAGCCCAGATCAGGGAAATGAATGCAAACAAACCAGACTGTTGGCGACGGGATGGAAAAACCCACTGACTGCGGCCCAGCGTAATACTGGGGTTTTGGTCACAAATCTTTCCGGGACCTGATGTGCGATGTGGGCTGTGGGACCTCGGAGAAGACGGCACACCGAGTAGGGAGGCTGCCGAACTGGACTCTTGGACGTGCCCAAAGGTTGGGCTATGTCCGACCACTTCGGCTGTGTGAGAGTGGCAGGCAGTCAGTCCACAGAATAGCTTGTTATGTTTAGCGTGTCTCTTGGATGAATCATAGACTCCCAGCGTTGGGAGGGGCCAGACAGGCTATCTACTCCAACCCCCTGCTCAATGCAGGATCAGCCTAGAGCAGTGATGGCGAACCTTTTAGAGACCGAGTGCCCAAACTGCGACCCAAAACCCACTTATTTATTGCAAAGTGCCAACATGGCAATTTAACCTGAATACTGAGGTTTTACTTTAGAAAAAACAACTCATACATTAACTTAAGAGGATCCAAACAAAGCGAGGAAAGCAATCCCAAATGCTTTCATTTACTTAAAATTATTTGGCAGAGAATTCGACACTTTAATGATGGTCTGGGCCTGGCTGGAGCGATGGCACGCATGCCCACAGAGAGGGCTCTGAGTGCCACCTCTGGCACCCATGCCATAGGTTCGCCACCACTGGCCTAGAGCATCCCTGGCAAGGGTTTGTCCAGCCTCTGCTCAAAGACTGCCAGGGCGGGGGAGCTCACCACCTCCCCAGGCAGCTGATTCCACTGTTGCATGACTGTCAAAAAGGTCTTCCTAATATCTGCCCTTAATTTGAATCCATTCTTGCGAGTCCTCTCCTCTGCTGCCAACAGGAACAGCTCCCTGCCCTCCTCTAAGTGACACAGCCCTTCAGATATTTCAAGAGAGCCGTCATGTCCCCCCTCCGCCTTTCCTCCTAGGGCTTGGTCTCCAGGTCTTGTAGATCATCCTCGTCGCTCTCCTCTGCGCCCGCTCTATTCCGTCCACATCCTTTTTGAAGTGAGGCCTCTGGAACTGCACACAAGACTCCAGGTGCAGCCTGACCAGTGCCGTGTACAAGTGGGACTATCACATCTTGAGATTTGGATGTTGTGCCTCTGTTGATACACCCCAAGATTGCATTAGCCTTTTTTGTCGCTGCATCACACTGGCTGCTCATATTTAACTTACAGTCCACCCGTACCCCAAGATCTTGTTCACACACACTGTGCTTCCCAGAAGTGTATCCCCCATCCAGTATGTGTGTTCGTCATTTCTGTTACCCAGATGCAGAAATCGGCAACCTCATGTGACCAAGGAAAAGGTGGGGCATACAGATAAAGACACACTTCGGAAGTCTTAACTCTGGTTATGGAATTTTGCAATAGATAAATGTACAGGAGGAAGTGAACAGATCTATCACGAAGGTTTAGCAGTGGCTGCTCAACAAGGACTGCGTGGCAGTGACCCAAACACCCACGGCAGCCTGGTGGTGGACAGGGCCTTATGGCCATCCCTTTGGGTTTTCAGGGCAAGAGACGAACAGAGGCAGTTTGCCCTTTCCTGCTTCTGCACAGTGACTCTGGGCTTCCTTGGAGGACTCCCACCCAAGCACTGACCAAGGCTGGCCCCACTTAGCTTCTGAGAGCTGATGAGATCAGGCTAGCCAATTGCACAGGGGCAAAGTTAATAAAACCAACACCAGCATAAAGAGACTCAGAAAAGCAGCCGAAAAGCAGGAGGAGTCAGAATACCGGGCAGTGTGGGCAAAAGTAATCGCCTGTGTCACACAGGGGTTCAATGGCCGTCCTTTCCAGGGGTCATTTCGTAGAAAAAGAGGTGCAGGAACTCATTAGCATAACTCATTAGCATAACTGCATAACCGGCAGTGTGTCAGAAGGCAACACTCACTGCTCAGGCTCCACTGGCCTGTTTTGGATTGCTAGCTACTGGGGGGGGGGGACGTGCAGATCTGTCCTCGCAGAAGAGGGAGAGCTTGTACCTGAATAAAATTTGGTCTTAAAGGTGCCACTGGGCTGTTTTGGACCGGGGACCGGGGAGGGCTCTGCAACTTACCTGGCTGCTTCTTGCTCCTTGTGGCCCGACTGAGGGCTGCTGGGAGCAGGGGGTGGGGCTTGTTGCATGTGCCCGCCCCCTGGGCTCTTTACTGTCGGAGCTCCCCTCCTGTGCACTCCTGCAGGAAATGACCCCTGGTCCTTTCAAGAAGAACAGTACCTAGTGTCCTTCTGGGAAATTGGTTGTAATGAGTCTCTGGGAATCCAGAAGTGAGAGGGCATGATGAAAATTTCGGTGGCAGGGAATGCCACAGTCTGTGGCACAATTGCGGAAAAGCCTCAGTCGTGCAAGGGACAAGGTTGTTGAGGGTGGGGAAAGGTCCCCTCCCTGGAAAACGGGTCAGGTTTCACCTCCTCCCCACCCTGGGTGCCTCCCCCCCATTTCTCTCATGTTAAATTAGGGAGAAAAGGAAAAGAAGAAAGGAGGAAGAAGAGATTGGATTTATACCCCACCCTTCGCTCGAAACCTCAGAGTGACTTACAAACTCCCTTCCCTGAGAGGTAAGTGGGGCTGAGAGAGCTCTTTTGAGGAGGGATGGGGGAATCAAACCCAGTTCTCCCAGATTAGAATCCGCGCACTTAGCCACTACACCAAACTGGAAAGAGGGAGTGCTGCATTTGGTAACGTGGCCTGGAAGATGGGATTGGTGGATTTGTTTGTAGTTGGTGTCTGTGCAGGTACAGACTGACAAATCCCCTCTCTGCTGGTGGGATCTGTTTCATAGCAAAATTTCCTTGGATGCAAGTGATAACCCAATGAAAATGGTGGGAGGGATTCAGGACAGGTCAAAGGGGCCTTTTTTGTTTTGCACAACGCATGTTTGTGGAACTCACTGCTACAGGGTGTACTGACGTCCACCAGAGCAGATAGCTTTAAAAGGGGATTAGAAAAACCTAATACTATATAATAATAATATATAATAATTAGGAGCTGTGGTGGCTCAAGTGGTTAAGACGCTGAACTGCAGGCTGTGGAAGGTCGGTAGTTCAGCAGTTTGAGACCCGAGTGTGCCGCATGATGGAATGAGCTCCCGTCTCTAGTTCCAGCTCCTGCCAACCTAGCAGTTCGAAAGCAAGAAATTGCAAGTAGATAAATAGGTACCACTTCAGTGGGAAGGTAACAGCATTCCATGCGCCTTGGTGTTTAGTCATGCCGGCCACATGACCACGGAAACGTCTTTGGACAGCGCTGGCTCTTCGGCTTGGAAACGGAGATGAGCACCGCAACCCTAGAGTCGGATTTGACTGGCTTTCGAGCGAGGGAACCTTTACCTTTTAGAAAAACCTATGGTGGAGGAGAAGTGGGGGCTTTTGGTTGGCCCTTGTGGGGAAAAAGGAAAGGGGCCCAGTGGACCTTCTAGTCTGGTCCAGCAGGGCTCTTGTGATGAAGGATGGGGGGCAGGCCACTTGCTTTTCAGCTGTTTCTGATCTCAAGCCCCCAGCAAACTTCCTCAGAAGACCCTTTGAAATCCTCTTGATCGGAGGTCTTCTCAAGACGGCAGTTTCTGCTTAGAGCTCTCCCTCCATTGCCCCAGTGCTGTCTCCGCCGCAGAAAAGCATTACCACATCTCTGGGACGGGAAACGTGAGCTCCCACCGTGCTAATGGGAAATCGCTTGCCTGAGCAATCCGTGGATTTGCATGAAGAGGCAAAAGAGGATCTTGCCAGGTGGATTTTGAGGTTGGGATCTGGGGAAAGGAGAGGTTTGGGGGCGGACTGGCTTGAGCCCCGACAGGGTGATCTGCCTAATTTGGATTTACTCTCCTCTCCATCCTCCAAGGGGTTTTGAAGCCACGTCAAACTCTATTTAATACACGAGTGCAAGAAAGGCTGCCCTGCAGGATGGGGCTAGCATTCTGTCAGAGAAAAGCAGGGCCTAGAGGCCACCAGACTCCTCTGTGGCTGGCCCTCTTGAGGTAGACTGCCTCTGTCCATGGATGTTCATTCGACCCAGGGCTAGAGAGCAGGGACCTTTTTCGGGTGGCACAATGCGGAGGTGTTGGTGCCCTGTAAGGGCACAGTTGCTTGTTGCCATCAGCAATGCTCCCTCTCAGCTGTGGACTCTTGTGAGCAAAAATCCACTTTGTGAGCTCCTGGCATTAAAGTTGTGAGCGAGGGATTGGGCTGATGCATACATTAGTTTGCTCTGGAGACATCCTTCCTGAGTTAAGACAAAAATGTGTGAGCCGGAGGCTGAAAAAATGTGAGCTAGCTCACACTAACTCAGCTGAGAGGGAACATTGGCCATCAGGGGCTCCACAGGAGGTCATGGCTGGAGCTTGCTTGGGCTTGGGCTTGGTAGTCCAAAGGGCTTCTTCAAACACCGCTGATTTTCCCCCTGGAATTTATCTTTTTACCAGAGTCCAGTTGGGCCCCGATTAAGTGTTAGTTCCTCATGTTGGCTGGTGGGTGGTAAAAATAGGGTTGCCGGCTCCCGTTTGGGGAATTCCTGGAGATTTAGAGGTCTGGGGAGGGGAGGGCTCTCAGCAGGGTATGATGCTATAGAGTCTACCCTTCAAAGCAGCCGATTTCCCCAGGGGAACTGATCTCTGTTCATAGAATCATAGAGTTGGAAGGGACCTCCAGGGTCATCTAGTCCAACCCCCCGCACAGTGCAGGGAATTCACAAATACCTCCCCCCAACACACCCGCAGTGCCCCCCCTGTTCCATGCCCAGAAGATGAGAAAAAACCTCCAGGATCTCCGGCCAAACCGGCCTGGAGAAAAATGGCTTCCTGACTCCAGAGTGGCGACTGGCATTTCCCTGGGCGTGTCAGAGAGGGCCACGAGAACTAAGCACTGAGGCAACCCCTCGTGCCCTCCCTCTCATGACCCGTCTAAGTTCACAGCGGCAGGAGATGTGTTGCAGTTCTGGGAGATCTCAAGGCCCAGCGCTGAAGTTGGCAACACTGGGTGGACGCGAGCGAGTTCTGAGAGGAGAAGGGGATGTGTGTAGCAATGCTCCCTCTCGGCTGTGGAGTCCTGTGAGCAAAAATCCCACTTTTGTGAGCTGCCGGCATTAAAGTTGTGAGTGAGGGACTTGGCCGCTGCATAAATCAGTTTGCTCTGGAGCCCTCCTTCCTGAGCTGAGACAAGAATGTGCGAGCCGGAGGCTAAGGAACTGTGAACTGGCTCGCACTCACTCAGCTTAGAGGGAGCACTGGTGGCGAGCCATCCCAGGCAAATGACTAGAAGCCCTTGGTGGAAACCACCGAGCCCTGAACTGGGCAGCCTGCAACCCAGCTCTCCTCCTGCCGCCTGCTCGCTGCCTCTCTGCCGGGGATTCTGCAGCGGTCAGGGAAATGGAAATGCATGCAAAGGAGGCCCCCCCTCCCCTGGTGGATGCAAAGCAGCCCTGGTCCCCCCCCCAGTGACCCTGGGAGGCCCATCCATCTTCCTCACCGCTGACACCTGCCAGTATGGGAAGGGCCTGGCACCATGAGGCTTGCCAGTGTGGTGGCCGCCTGCCTCCTCGGAGCACTGGTTGCTGCGGGGAGCTTCAACGGCACTCCCCCCTCCCATTTCCACCTGGCCGGGGATTACATCCTGGGGGGGCTCTTCTCCCTGCACGCCGAGGTGGTGGGCAAAGCACACCTCAGCAGCTCCCTGGTGCCCATCTGCAAAGAGTAAGTACAACAGGAGGGAGGAAAGGTGCTGCGGAGGGTTGGGAAGGGGGTGGGGGGGCATGCAGGGATGGGGTCGCGCCTGCCAAATTAATGGGGGGGGGGATCTGAGCTGGGGTCCGACTTGGCCTCTGCCACAGACTTACCAGGCTGGCCACACTCAATCTTCGCTCTCCTCTCTTCTGCCACATGGGAGGGGGTAATGCTGGCCTACCTTGCAGGGTTGTATGCAAGGAGTATGTAGAGCTCTTGTGTTTTGTAAAATAAGAATAATGTTAACTGCACTGGTTAAGGTTTTTGCTTGCCGTTTGTTTCCATACTCTCAGAATTCACCCAAACAACAGCAGCAACAAAAAGAGATTTTGTGGTCGCTGGAAGGAGGTCCCAGTCCGAGCTATAGGCTTGCAAGGACTGAACCCCCTGCGAGCCGGTTCAAACCAGGATTTGTAACTGGTTGCTAAAACTGACTTTTGTGCTGCAGGACTGAAAAAGTGGCAGATGTTACAAATTTTTTTTAAAGGGGTCTAAAAGGGACCTGGGGCCATGGTGGCTGCAGACCGGAAGGTCGGTAGTTTGGCAGTTTGAGACCTGAATGCCGCATGACGGAGTGAGCTCCCATCTCTGGCCCCAGCTCCTGTAAACCTAGCAGTTCGAAAGCAAGAAATTGCAAGTAGATAAATAGGTACCACTTCGGTGGGAAGGTAACAGCGTTCTGTGCACCTTGGTGTTTAGTCATGCCAGCCACATGACCACAGAAGACTCTTCAGACAACATTGGCTCTTCAGCTTGGAAACGGAGATGAGCAACACCCCCTAGAGTTGGATTCGACTCGTTTTTGAGCAAGGGAAACCTTTACCTTTACTGTTTGGTGTAGTGGTTAAGTGTGCAGACTCTAATCTGGGAGAACCAGGTTTGATTCCCCCACTCCTCCACTTGCACCTGGCTGGATGACCTTGGGCAAGCCATAGTTCTGATAAGAGCTGTTCTTGAGAAAGAGCAGTTTCTGTCAGAGCTCTCTCAGCCCCACCTACCTCACAGGGTGTCTGGTGTGGGGTGGGGAAGGGAAAGGAGTTTGTCCGCTGCTCTGAGACACCTTTGGGTAGTGAAGGGCAGGGTATAAATCCAATCCTCTTCTCTTCTCTTCTCTTCTCTTCTCTTCTCTTCTCTTCTCTTCTCTTCTCTTCTCTTCTCTTCTCTTCTCTTCTCTTCTCTTCTCTTCTCTTCTCTTCTCTTCTCTTCTCTTCTCTTCTTAAAAGGGCCCCAGGAAACTATAGGCCAGTCAGCCTAACATCTGTTCTAGATAAATTGGTAGAAACTGTTACTGAAGACAGAATTATTAGGCACACGGAAGAACAAAACCTGCTGAAGAAAAATCAGCATGGCTTCTGCACGGAAAGTCCTGCCTCACCAACCTTTTGGAGTTCTTGGGGAAAGTGAACATGCATGTAGACAACGGTGACCCAGTAGACATTATATAGTTGGACTTTCCAAAGGCTTTTGACAAGGAACCTCACCAAAGACTCCTGGGATAAGATAGCAGATCCTCTTATCTTGGGATAAGATAGCAGATCCTCTTATCTTGGGATAAGATAGCAGATCCTCTTATAGATTAAAAATGGGTTAAATTGCAGGAAGCAAAGCGTGGGAATAAAGGGACAGCCCTCCCAATGGAGGGAAGTGGGCAAATTGGTACTGGAGCCGATGCTATTTAACTAGTTCATAAATGATTTGGAACGAGGGGAAATGAGTGTCGTGGCCAAGTTTGCCGATGATACCAGATTGTTCAGGATGGTGAAAACCAAAGCGGATTGTGAAGAGCTCCAGAAGACTCTCTCAAAACTGAGTGAGCAGGAAACACGATGGCCAATGTAGTTCAGCCGAGGAAAGCGTAAGTTGATTCACATTGGAACAACAATAAAAAATCCCAACTTTAAATATATGCTGATGTGATCTGAACTGGCTGAGAGCGAGACTGAAATAAATCTGGGGGACGTAGCAGATAGCGTGAGGAAAACGTCGCCTCCGTGTGCGGCGGCAGCGGAAATGCGAACTCCATGCTGGGGATTATTAGGAAAGGGATAAAGGCAAGTGTTGTCATGCCCTCGTATAGATCTCTTGGTGCGGCCCCATTTGGAATACGATGTACAGTTCTGGTTGCTGTACCTCAAAAAGGATATCGCAGAGTCGGAAAAGGTACAGAGGAGGGCAACTGAGAGGATAAAAGAACCGGAGCAACTTTCCTGTTAGGAAAACCTGAACAGCCTGGAACTTTTTAGTTTAGTTTGGTTTAGAAAAAAAGATCATTGAGGGGGACATGATAGACGGACAGAAGAAAACGTGTTTTAATCACTGGGACATTAAATTGTGGGATTCACTGCCAGTGGACATAGTGACGGCCTTTATAAGGGGATTAGATAGATTCATAAAGGTGAGGTCTATCAGTGGCTACTAGCCAGGATGACTAAAGGGAACCTCCATGTTCAGAGGCAGTCAACCTCTGAATCTCAGAGCCAGGAGGCAACATCAGGGGAAGGCCTTGGCCTCTCTGCCATGTTGTTGGCCCTCGAGAGGAAGGAACTGTTTGGCCACTGTATGAGAGAAGGGATGCTGAACTATATGGACCACTGGTCTGATCCGGCAAGATTCTTCTGATGTTCTTAGAGGGACAGAAGCCAGCTGGGCTCTCAAACCTGGCATCCTGTAGCCAAGCCTCCTGGCTCAGAACTTAGCACTGAGGCAAGCCTGTCCTGGTTTTGTACCAGATCTATGGCCATGCCTTCCCTTTCCTCTACTCCCGAGGAACCTGAAGAATGTAAAGCTTTGAGGAGTACTGAGAACTCTCCCTTAGTGTGTATAACCCTGCCCTGCCTTATGGAACAGTTCCCAGAATGACGGTTAGATCTGTGTCCAGTCTTTAGCACAGATCAAGTGTGGGTTTACTTGTATGACCCACTTTTTAAAAAAACTCCAGTCCTTGCAGCCCTCCTGATGTGTGTTAGATGCTCAAAAGCCAGAGGGCGCACGCTCAGGATTGTGTAGGCAGAGGGCAAAGGGCCATTCCAGGGTCCCATCATGGCACATGTCCCAGTCTGGATCAGGCCAAGGAAGTCTGGGGTTCTTCACAAGACTCCCAGCACTGGGAACTGGGCAGTGGTCCTTAGGAAGTCCTTGGGCTGAGAGCCAGTTTGGCGTCGTGGTGAAGTGCGCAGATTCTACTCTGGGAGAACCGGGTTTGATTCCCCCACTCCTCCACTTGCACCTCGGCTGGATGACCTTGGGCAAGCCGTAGTTCTGATAAGAGCTGTTCTTGAAAAAGAGCCGTTTCTGTCAAGAGCTCTCTCAGTCCCACCTACCTCACAGGGTGTCTGTTGTGGGGAGGGGAAGGGAAAGGAGTTTGTCAGCCGCTCTGAGGCACCTTCGGGTAGTGAAAGGCGGGGTATAAATCCAATCTCCTCCTCCTCCTCCTCCTCCTCCTCCTCCTCCTCCTTCTTCTATAAACCGACAGAATCTGGTTGGTTGCTTTTCTGCAGACAAGGATGCTTGCGAGTCTGGAATGAATTGCCCCCCTCTGTGTCCCATCTGTCCCTCAGGTACAAGCTCAAAGGGGTGAGCTACAGTTACCTCCAGGCCATGCGCTTTGCGGTGGAAGAGATCAACAACTCCAGCGCCCTCTTGCCGGGGATTTCCTTGGGCTACGAGATGGTGGATGTCTGCTACCTCACCAACACCATCCACCCCGTCCTTTATTTCCTCTCGGATAACCGCTCCCAGCTAGAGATACAGACAAACTACACCCACTATCATCCCCGAGTCTTGGCAGTCATCGGTCCAGACTCCTCGTCGGCCGCTGTGGCTGCTGCGCATCTTCTGAGCCTTTTCCTCGTCCCACAGGTGAGGCGCTGCGTCTCCAGCGAGGGTGGCATTTGTGTGACAGATGTGTAGGGTTTACCAGCCTCTAAGTGGGCCCTGAGACCTCCCAGGATCACAATTGATCGCCAGACAACTGAGATCAGTTTCTCCTAGAGAAAATGGCTGCTTTGGAGGGGGGACCCGCCTAGGCCATCAGACCAGGCTAAGGTTCCTCGCCGCCAGTGTTCCCTCTAAGCTGAGTTAGTGTGAGCCAGCTCACAGTTTTTTTAGCACCTGGCTCAGACATTTTTGTTTTAGCCCAGGCAGGAGGGCTCCAGAGCAAACTAATTTATTCAGTAGCCAAATCGTTCGCTCACAGCTTTAATGCCAGTCGCTCACAAAGTAGAATTTTTGCTCACAGGACTCCACAGCTTAGAGGGAACATTGCCCTCCACAGGCTCCACTCTGTATTCTTGGTGCTTGGGGGGGGGGCAACAGTGGGAGGGCTCCTAGCGTCCTGGCCCCACTGCTGGACCTCCTGAGGGCCCCTAGTATTTCTGGCCACTGTGTGACACAGAGTGTTGGACTGGAGGGGCCACTGGCCTGACCCAACTTTGGCTTCTCTCTTATGTTCTTATGATGTTTGCTCTAAGAAGGGCAGAGTCAGTTTCTGAGAGGCCTGCTTTGGGAGCCCACCAATGGCTCCTAAGAGGTTCCCGCGGATGTCAGCCTGGCCCAGTTGCTGGCAATTTATTTATTTATCAGATTTATACTCCACCCTCCTGCTCTGGCAAGAGTTGTGAGTCTGTTGGGCTGGACTGGGCAAATCCGTGGTATCTCAGTCTTTGTGGGGGGGGGGGGGGGGTGACGCCCACCTGCCTTCGGTTGCCGTACTCTGCCTTGCTGTAAGAACCCTGATGGCTATGAAGTGCTTTTAAGCGTGATGTAGAATTGAGCCCGAGTATTTTTTTTAAATTATTTTTTAATTATTATTTTCTCAAGGAAAAAAAGGGTGGGGTACAGAAGGGGGAAAGGGGAGGGGGGAAATATAGATTCCTCGAGTTTGTTAAATATTATGAAGTGTTGTGTAAAAAGGTAAAATCAAATATATTACTGTTGGAGTTGCAAGTTGCTTACACTTCAGTCATTTCAGAGTTAAATGTTGTTTGTTAGGAAACAGGATGTTACGTTACATAATGTATTCAACGGAGGGAAAGTTTGTGGGAGTTGTTTATCCTAATGAAGTGAAATGCTTTGATCTAGCATTAATGAATTCACAAAGTTTATGGCCCTTTGTGTGAACCAAAGAGGAAGCTCTCTTCTAGAAGCCAAGACAGTTAGAAAGATGTAGCTGTTAGCATATAGTACTGAGAGTAACTGCAAGTATGTAACCTTTTTATTTTATTTATTTTATCCAAAGTACCTTACCCATGTTTTATTTTGTTTTATAGTAAAGATATTTTTCTTTTACTAGTGTGGCTCTTGTGTTTGCAATACGAACATCGATCTTGAATTTCAGAATCCCAACAATTACTAAATGCATTACATAATTCAAATATAAAAACAATTAAGAAAGCACCAGTTTTACAGAATTTTGGGTCAGATACTCTTTAAGAAATAAGCAAAAAAAAACTCTCCTAAAATTAGTAATAACATATTAATGATAAAAGAAAATACATAAGAACATAAGAGAAGCCAACACTGGATCAGGCCAATGGCCCATCTAGTCCAACACTCTGTCACACAGTGGCCAAAAATACCAGGTGCCATCAGGAGGTCCAGCAGTGGGGCCAGGACACTAGAAGCTCCCTCCCACTGTTGCCCCCACCCCCCAAGCACCAAGAATACAGAGCATCACTTGCCCCAGGCTGAGAGTTCCTATCTATACCTTGTGGCCAACAGCCACTGATGGACTTCTGCTCCATATCTATATATCTAATTCCCAATTGTGCCCCCTCTGTGTGGATATCTAAATCCGCACATCAAGGGCACCTGGGGGGCAGGGAGATGTTCCTGCACATTTGGGGCAATCCCCAGATGTGCAGAAAAATCTAAAAACTGTAAAAAACTATAGGGGGGATACTTAAATCCCCCCAAAAGTAAAGGAGTGTTCCCTGCACAGGCGCAGGGAACGCTCTGAGAATGGCTTCACTGCCGCTGCCGTGGGGGGGGGGGACAAGGCTTGGCCGGCTGGTGGCTGTAAACCGCTCAGCCCTCGCTGCTGCCTGGGGAGGAGGGAGAAAGTTTGGCGGGCCAAGCTCAGGCCTTGCCACCACCGCCACTGCCGCCAGGGAGGAGGGAGGGAGAAAGCTTGGTTGGCTGAGTTCAGGCCTCGCCGCCGGCGCTGGGGGGGACGGAGAAGGCTTGGAGGGGCGCGCGCCTTGCCGTGGGTGCCGGGAATGGGGGGGCAGGGGAGAAGGCTCACCTGCGGCTGCTTCATTCTCCTCCCGTGGAGCTTCTCCCCCCCCCCCGTGAGTATTGCGGGTCCCCCTTCTTGTGCTTATCTAATTCCCTCTTGAAGCTGTCTATGCTTGTAGCCGCATGTAGCCGCCACCACCTCCTGTGGCAGTGAATTTCATGTGTTAATCTTTAACAGTTAATCTTTAAAACCTAAAAATTGTCTTAATTGTTTATCTAAATCTGAATTTTATTCTCACTGATTATTTATATGTTAATGGAATACAAAATAAAATATTGAAATTTTGATCAATATCTTCATAATCTTTAATGTAATATTCAAATAATGCCAGAACTAAAAAGAAGAGCCCGAGTATTGATTAGTTGCAGTTTGGAGATGCAGCCAAAAATGGGGGTGGGGGGAGAGAACAGGAGAGGCCTGGGTGCTCTGCAAGGTACGAGGAGCTCTCCCAGCTTTCTCAAGGGCTGTAAATCTTGGGCAAGTCACTAGTCCTCAGCAGTGTTCCCTCTAAGTTGAGTTAGTGTGAGCTAGCTCACAGTTTTTTAGCCTCCGGCTCACAGATTTTTGTCTTAGCTCAGGAAGGAAGGCTCCAGTGTTCCCTCTAAGCTGAGTTAGTGTGAGCTAGCTCACAGTTTTTTAGCCTCCGGCTCACAGATTTTTGTCTTAGCTCAGGAAGGAAGGCCTCAGTAGCTGCTTCACAGTCGCGATGGCATCTATCACCTGCATCTCTTGCTTTTTCCCGGTCTTCTGCTTGGCTCCCTGCCCCTTCCATGCAGCAAGGTCATTTTAGACACTGGATGGAAGGGTCTTATGCCGCCTCCCCCCCACCCCCATGCTGCTGCTGCTGGTGGTGATGATGATCAGAGCTTTTTCCCCCCCTGGAAAAAGAGGTGCCAGAACTCTCAAGAGGGAAACGAAGGAGAAACCCACAGGATTGTTCGAAACCCTTGTTTAAATTTAATTTTTAAAATTGTAATATTGTTGTGACATCACAAGTGACATCAGGCTCCCCTGGTGCCCCTCGTGAACTTTTAAACATTTTTTTGGAGAATTTTCTTTTCATGAAGAGATTTCAGAACTCTGTTCCGGTGCGTTCCCTCAGAATAAAAGCCCTGTGTGTTTCAAATGTGAAGTGGATGTCTGCTTCCCAGCCATCCTGCTGATTCATGGAGCCTGGCCCTGACGTCCCCACTGCGGCCTTTAGACCCTACTCCAGCCTCTCACCCCTTTATTTCTCCCTCATCTTATGCAGCATCTTCTCCTTCCCCAGTGAATGAGAAGTAGGCCACTTCTGCCTTTTGGAGAGCACCTAGCACAGTGTAATGGCTGGCAGCAGGAAAAGGAAGGTTTCTCCCAGAACATTCCTTTCAGAGGGCTGCGGGAGAACAGCAAGATTTGAGTCCAGTAATCTGGGAGAACCAGGTTTTGTTCCCCGTCCTTCCACATGCAGCTGCTGGGTGACCTTGGGCAAGCCACGATTCTCTCAGAGCTATTCTCTCAAAAGCAATCCTCGAAAGAGCTCTCTCAGCCCTATCTACCTCACAGGGTGTCTGTTGTGGGGAGAGGAAGGGAAAGGAGATTGTAAGCCGCTCTGAGACTCCTTCGGGTAGTGAAGGTCAGGGTATAAATCCAACCTCCTCCTCCTCTGCTTGCTTCTTCCTCTTCCTCGTCTTCTTCCTCTTCCTGTTCACTACTGGACTTGAATCTTGCTTTCCCGGAATGTTGTCTTCAGCACGGAAAGATTCAGACAGTGATTCTTCGGAAGTGTAGAGCTGAGCCTCTGGAGAATCCCCATTTTAAAAAGAAGCCAGGTTTCAGTTCTTATCTGTCTGGAAAATTTCCTTCCCCAGACCTGCTTGAGGCTACTGACAATTAAAACAAGACCAAGGAATGAAGATAGTGAAGCCATGCCATTAGAAAGTAAAAAAATCAATGAAACAAATCAAGCCAATAAAACAAATTCGGGTCATGGAATCCAGCTTGTCCCAACGCAGAATAAAGTGCAGAATTTTGATTTGATTTAACGCAGCCTGCACACAACTCCGACCATAAAGGGACAAGCAGCACAAATGAGCCCCACGTTAGTCAGGGACGGAGCGTGTGCCAGCCGGGTAACCACGACCGGGATGTAGGGCGGAGCAACACAGAGCCGGAGAACTATAGCTACTGCCTTTGCCCACTGTGTGTGGGGTTTTTTCCCCAAATTTTTCTGCTTTTTCAGCTTTGTGTATATTTTTTGTTAGCTATGCATGTTCTCTGCTTTTCACTGCAGATTTTGTAGACTGTATTGCACACCCCGCCTGTGTTAAATCATAGTTCTTGTGCAATTTGTATGTACAATACGCCTCATTTATAAATATAAATGCTGATTTATTAATGCACAACTGGCACTGGAAAACAGTATATTTTATGGGGGCCCGTTCATCACGAGGGCACGGAAAATCGTGCAAACCTAAAGAGCCAGGGGGTAAAATCGCATGGATACCTTCTGCTAGGGGAGGTGCTCCTCTCCAGCAGGGGGAGCCCTCACGTGATACAGGACACTCTTTAAGGAAAGTGCCTCTGCTTGGGGAATGGCCGCCCAGGATTCAACCCTAGGGCACGGACAAGGAAAACCAAGGCAGAGGTTTTGGAGTTGAAATAGTAAGGATGATGCATTTAAAATGACCCCTAATCTGCATTTGGATTCCTGCTCCCCATACGGTGGCTATCATACAAATTAATATCCAGTCAAAAATAGAAGATTGAAGTCAGAATGAGGAGGAAGATCTTCTTTTAATTGCAATGAAATATGGAAAACAGTTAGGCCAAAGGACCCATCAAAGTTGACTGCTTTCCGAGCCCAATCAGGAAATACATGAAGTTAAATACTTAATATGACATCATCATGAGAATAATATTCAGAAGGCATAATTGATTGCAGAAAATTAAACAACATTTACATAAAAATCTCCTTATGGGTCAAATGTAAGAAAGGTGTGTCTGTGCAATAACGTCACGTATTTACTTGACCTGACCTAAGTCGTATCGGCCCCGGCTTGTTCTCACCCAAACAAAGGTGTTTTTCTCTGATACCAAGTAAAAGATCCTTTTTGACCCAGACACTATGAAGTTGTAACCTAAACAATTAGAACCATGAACCTTCTTCCTTCTTCTGTACCAAAAGAATGCTATTGTCTTGTCTGTTAACATTAGTTGGAAAAATACCCTGACATACAAGGAAGAAAGGCCTTCTATAGAACAGGCCTTCATTACTTCCCCTTAAAATGTTATTTAAGAATAAATCTATAAAAACCAGAGAAATATGAATAATAATTATAAAAAGGAAAATCTACATAGTCCCAATTGAGAAGAAAAGGTTTGGGGACGCGAGGCGCTCCAGGCCTTTCCATTCACCCTTATTCATCCTAACAAATCCTTCTCCCCTCTTGCTTCCAGGTCACCTACAGCGCGACCAGCCAGGCCCTGAGCAACCCCAAAGTCTTCCCCGTTGCTTTCCGCACGATCCCAAGCTCGGAGCAACAGATCACGGTCATACTCCGCTTGCTGCGGAGGTTCCGTTGGAACTGGGTCATCGTCCTCTCCAGCGACGACGACTACGGTCAGCAGAACATGCAGGCGCTGCGGGCCCAGGCCTCCTGGCCCTGCATAGCCTTCCAGGAGATTATCCCGGTCCAGACGACAAACCAGGAGGACCGCGGCATCCGGCAGCGGATGGAGGGCATTGTCAGGAAGATTGTCGGGAGCACGGCCAAAGTGGTCATCGTCCTGACCCTGGAGCTGCCTCTCCCGGCCTTCTTCCAAGAGGTCCTCCTGCAGAACGTCACTGGCCTGGTGTGGATCGCGTGTGAAGCCTGGGCCATCGATCCGTCCTTGCACAGCATCGCCAACATCTCCAGCATCGGCACCATCTTTGGGGTAGCCGCACAGGATGTGCTTATGCCAGGGTTTGCTGACTTCCGGGTTAGGTCCCCCTCCAGCCCAGCAGAGGGAGCCAGAGAACGGGATGCAGCTGAAACTTGCAACCAAGTCTGTGACCAATGCCTACCAAAAATGTTGCTCTATGACAAGATACTCCGGGGGACGGGGAACCGCATTGACTTCAATGTCTACTCCGCAGTCTACGTTGTTGCCCACGCCTTGCACCAGCTGCTGGACTGCAACAGCCGGAAGGGGTGCCGGAAACAGAAAGTTTACCCTTGGCAGGTGAACCCCCTGTGAACACTCCCATGCGCTTTCTGCGGGGAATGTTACATCTTGAACTTGCATTCATTCATGCTACAGAAAGTGCCATTGGTCTCCCATGCCATGGGTGGACTATGGGCTCCAGATAAAGAAAGAGCCCTGCTGGATCAGACCATCTAGTCCAGAATCTCACTGTGGCCAACCTGGTGCTCAGACAGGGGCACAGAAGCCAAGGCCTCCCCTTGACAGTGCCTCTTAGCACTGGTTTCCAGAGGTGTACTGCCTCTGGAAGGGGAGGTTCCATTTAGCCATAACCACTAATTTGGTGTAGTGGTTTGGTGTAGTGGTTAAATGTGCGGACTCTAATCTGGGAGAACCAGGTTTGATTCCCCACTCCTCCACATGCAGCTGCTGGTGTGACCTTGGGTCAGTCACAAGTTCTCTCAGAGCTGTTCTCTCGAGGGCAGTTCCCAAGAGAGCTCTCTCAGCCCCGCCTACCTCACAAGGTGTTTGTTGTGGGGAGGGGAAAGGAGTTTGTAAGCTGCTCTGAGACTCCGAGTGAAGGGCGGGGTATAAATCCAATCTCTTCTCCTCTTCTCTTCTAATACCCATTGCTGGAGCTCTGCACCATGAGTTGTCTTAATCCCCTTCTAAAGGCGTCAGTGCTCAAGGGCCCCCATGGCATCTCATGTCAGTGGACACTGCATGCCAATTAGACGTTGTATGAAGAACGCATCTCCAGTCATTAATTTTTTTAATGGCTTCTCACATTTAATTTGCCCTGACCTGCATTATCCAGGCTGGCCCTATCTCATCCAATCTCAGAAGCAAAGCAGGGTCAGCCCTGGTGAGTCTTTGGATGAGAGACCACCACAGAATGGTCCAGGGTTGCTATGCAGAGGCAGGCAATGGTAAACGCCCTCTGCTCAGCTCCTACCTTGAAACCCCTCTGGGGTCGCTCTGGGTTGTCTGTGACTTGACAGCACTTAATGCATCTGATATTTAATTAATTAACTGATTCCCTTTCTCCCTCACCATTCTGCCAAGGGCCCCGGGTGGCCTACGTGGGTCACTCCCATTTCGTCTTCTCTTATAACCCTGTGGGGCAGGTTAGGCTGCAAGCAATGCTCCCTCTAAGCAGTGGAGCCTTGTGAGCAAAAATTCTACTTTGTGAGCTACTGGCCTTAAAGTTGTGAGCGAGCGATTGGGCTGCTGCATAAATTAGTTTGCTCTGGAGCCACCCTTCCTGAGCTAAGACAAAAAATGTGTGAGCCGGAGGCTAAAAAACTGTGAGCTAGCTCACATTAACTCAGCTTAGAGGGAACGCTGGCCGCAAGAGAGAGAAACTGGCCCCAGGTCACCCAGTTCTCTGTTTCTGTAATCTTAGTCCTATCACATTGTTCACTGGTTGTCTTGTTGCTGGGCCCATAACCTGTTGAGCGAGGTTATTCTAAATTAATTTGCGACAGAAGTGTGCGGTCTGGTTTCTCTTCAGAGTGCATAAATCTTTCGCCTTTCGCCTGCACCGTTTTATATCCTATAATTAGCCTTGTGTCAATGGGGAAGGCAAATGTTACCTTAAAGACAAATAAGTAGGGATTTGAACTTGGGTCCCGCCGGTCAAAGACTGCCTCTACCTGCTGCCCCGTGTGTGTGAAGTGTTGTCAAGTCACAGCTGACTTATGATGACCCCAGGAAGCGGTATTCAAGGCAAGTGAGAGGCAGAGGTGGCTGGCTATCACCTTCCTCTGCAGAGTCGTCCTTGGTGGTCTCCCACCCAAGTACCGACCCTGCTTAGAATTCTGAGAAGATCACACTATCCCACACTGCCCCCTACTGGTGCATATTATACGGTCAGGTAGTTCGTGGAGGGAGAAGTAATTTTGGAAAGTAGCCCCGAGTTCCAAAAACACAACACCTCTCTTTCTTCCGTAGCTGCTGCAGCAGGTGGCCCAGGTGAAATTCACTCTGCGTAGCACCACCATCCGCTTTGATAAGAACGGAGACCCCCCGTCTGGCTTTGAGGTCATCCAGTGGCAGTGGGGAACCCCTGGCTTTCCTTTTAAGCAGATTGCCGCCTATGACCCCGTGAAGAAGGAGCTGGACGTCTTTACGGGAGCCATCACTTGGCACACGCCCAACAACACGGTCAGTTTTTTGTGCCGGGGGAGGGGGCGGTACATGGAACATGTTGGAGACTTGTGGCAAAAACTGAAAGTGCTCTTGGGGGTTGGGAGCAGGAGAGGCTTCCATTAGGGTGACAGAGATCCAATCAGTTTTTCATATGGGAAAGGCTAGCGTGGGACTAGGCATGGTGGCCTCCAGGTGGGACTTTGGGGATCCCCTGGAATTACAGTTTATCTCCAGACTACAGGGAGCCAGCGTGGTGTGGTGGTTAAGAGCGGCAGCCTCTGATCTGCAGAACCGGATTCGATTCTGCACTCCTCCGCATGAAGCCGGCTGGGTGACCTTGGGTCAGTCACAGTTCTCTCAGAGCTCTTTCAGCCCCCAAAATAAGTCTAGCTCACCACCTCGTGGTGCATAACGCCAAAAAAAAAATGAGTTTAAGGCTGCCAGACAATCTTCAGATCACCTGCCTATACCACGCACAATGCCATACAATAATTATTATCCAGCCGACAGAGATCAGTTCTCTTGAACAAAATGGATGCTCGGAAGGGTGGACTCTACAGCAGTGTACGCCACTGAGATCCCGGTCCTCCCCAGGCTCCACCCCCAGATCTCCGGAAGTTTCCCAACCTGGATCTGGCCACCCTCCCTCCCTATCCCCGCTGGCAGCCAGGGAGACCTGTGTGGCGTTCTGCATTGGCAGCTGTTCACTGGATTCCTCAGGCCCTCGTTGGCTCTCCAGCCTGCCCTGGGGGCCCGTGAGTGAGCCCTCCTCCTCCTTAGCAGCCCCCCCAACATGGGAAAGGAAGAAGAAGAAGAAGAAGAGATTGGATTTATACCCCTCCCTTCACTACCCAAAGGAGTCTCAGAGCGGCTGACAATCCCCTTTCCCTTCCCCACCCCATAACACACCCTGTGAGGCAGGTGAGGCTGAGAGAGCTCTTTTGAGGACTGCCCTTGAGAGAACAGCACTGAAAGAACTCTGTGCACAGTACTTGTTGTATGTTGGCATTAAAGCTGTGAGCAGGTGATTTGGCCGCTGCATAAATTAGTCTGCTCTGGAGCCCTCCTTCCTGAGCTGGGACAAAAACGTGTTAGCTGGAGGCTAAAACACTGTGAGCTAGCTCACACTCACTCAGCTGAGAGGGAACACTGATTCCCTGGTGTGCTTTGACTGGCAAAGAGGGCCACCAGGTGCCTGCTTTTAAGTAACTCTGGATGGAAGGCCCAGGCCAGCCCGATCCGGTCAGATCTTGGAAGCTAAGCAGGGTCAGCCCTTCTCAGTACTCGGATGGAAATCCACGAAGGAGGCCCAGTGCCGCTATGCAGAGGCAGGCAAGGGCAAACCACCTCTGAACACCTTTTGCCTTGAAAAACCTAAGGGGTTGCCATAAGACGTCGGCTGCCACTCGAGGGCACTTCCCACCACCAGTGTTCCCTCTAAGCTGAGTTCTTTAGCCTCCGGCTCACACCTTTTTGCCTCGGCTCAGGGAGGAGGGCTCCGGAGCCAACTAATTGATGCAGCGGCCAGATCCCTCGCTCACCACTTTAAGGCCAGGAGCTCATGAAGTAGGATTTTTGCTCACGAGACTCCACAGCTGAGAGGGGGCCTTGCCTGCCACCCCCCCCCCCTTGTCCCACTCGGAGCTCTTTGGAGAAGGGCCGGCTGAGGAGACGCTGGGTGCAGCTGGCTGGGGGTGATGCAATCCCTTGAGCCAGGCTTGAATTGGGGAAGCCTTCATGAGTCCTTCGCAAGGGGCCCAAAGTCCTCCTCTGGGAGAGGACCCGGAGCAAGAGTTAATGTCTGAAGGAGCCTGAGTTGGAGGCTAACAAATCTGGAGCGAAGGGCCGGAGCGGGACCTGGGCCCATCATGGGTGTCGCTCTCCTTTCCAGGCTCCCAGGTCCGTCTGTTCAGAGCAGTGTGAGCCGGGCCACAAGAAAAAGCTCATCGGCAGCATGGCCTGCTGCTTCGAGTGTGTGCCGTGCGAAGCGGGGACCTTTTTCAACACGAGTGGTAAGTCCCTTCCTTCCTTCCTTCCTTCCTTCCTTCCTTCCTTCCTTCCTTCCT